TGGAGAAATTAATGACACCAATGCTGTAACCATGAAAAGTGGAGGGAAAAAAAAAGCACTTCGAAGTGCTGCTCTGAAACTAACACCTCCTTTCTTATTATGTTGGCCCATACTGTCAGAGGCAGATGGTGGTATGGCAGTAGAGGATGATCCTTCCCACCAATATTCCATTACATGTTACTGTTGTACAACAGAGGACAGCAGTGGGACAGTCTGACAGAATGGCATCTGACATGGGAGTATATATGAAGAAAAGGTGTGTCACTGAATTCTTCCACATGGAAAAATGGCACCCAGTGACATTCACTGACACTTGCTGAACATTTATGGAGATGAAACGGAATGTGAGCACAGCAAGGAAATAGGTACTACGTTTCAGCAGCAGCAATAGCGATGTGAAAGACAAGCCATGTTTGGGACAGCCATGAAGACTGCTATCAGAGCGGCACGCAGGCTCTTGTTCATGGCTGGCAAACATGTACAGTTAATGGTGGTGACTGTCAAAAAATAGCGTTTTGTAACTGAGAACTTGCTCTATCGAATAGCATTGTTGTACTCTTTTTATCTGTTGTTGTTTCCATGGAAATAAATAAGAGGCATTACTTTCAGACTGACCTACATATATTTTCCTTTTAGCACATGAAGCTAACAAAATAGTTATGATACAATTTTGTTTTACTGCCAGTTTTCAGCTAAACTCAACATCATTGAAAATGATGTGATGACCCAGGTATACGCTAATGACAATAAAAAGAAAAATCCCAAAGAAAAACATTGCAGCCTTTGCTGAGAAACATTTAAAGTAGTCAAGAACAACCTAATGCACAGAAGTGGCGGTTTAATAGCATGATTATTTTCAGCTTTAGCCTAAGAAATATAGGTTCAAAAAGGAAATATCAGATTTTGAGAAGACTCCACATAACTGCATAGGTTGTGTCGTACCATTCATAACCCAGTTCAGCCTTTTTCAGATTAAAAGTTCTAGGTGTATGAAAACCTTGGACATGAGGTGCAGACCTAAGAGATTTTTTTCTCCCTTTAAATAAATTTATTTTGTACTCGCTGGAAACTGACTCAGCAGCACTCACTGAGTTTTAGCCTTCTACTCGCTGCCGAGAAAGCAGGCTTTCCAGTGTTTTGCAAATCAACAAAACACTAAGCGTGCGCTTAACATTAAACTTGAGCTGCATTTTCCCCAAGGTAAATGGAATGCAAATGAACATTTGGTTGTTGTGCTTAATACAGACACTCTCTGTGCCTCTGAACTGTTTTGCTGCCAGCTGACTCTTACAACTGAGAAAGAGTTGTCAGTTTCACAGAATATGGATTGGATCATTTTAAACTAGTACCAGCAAAAAGAAAACAGTTCACTGAGAGGAAGAAATATGCCTGATAATGTCACCTCTGCAAGCTTCTTGGATCACTATATGAAAATGGGCATAAAGCCCTACTCTAGCTTGTAGTACAGCGACATACCTTGTATTTTACTTTCATAATCATTTGCAAAAACACAGCTGAATGAACAGCATGGAGCAGCTTGTGTTCGTATCATAATATACAGCCTCTCAGTACTTCATGTCCAATAACACCTCTATGAAAATCAAGCTGCATTACTCCTGCTTCTTTGTATAACACTTTGCATGACTACGAGTAGCAAGTGACAACACTTTCTCCAGTAACTGAGATTGATTATTGGTACTTCAGCACATCCATAATCATGATGCATGCAGCACAGAGATGGAATTATTTTCATACACTGCCTTGATTGGTAGAAAAGACTTATTTTAAAGTGAAGTGAATATTTATAGGAAGTTTGCAATATGCTCTAGAGTAATGAGTATTGTGCTAGCTGTCAGATCTCTAGCTACTCTACTGACTTGCATGGCTCTGAGCACGCCATGCATACTGACTACATTTGCTACAGTTCAGTCAGTGGTTGGCACTGACCTTACATCTACCAGTGATTACCAGTCTGTAGTACTTGAGATACTTAGTATTCTGTTAATAATAGTGAGAAAATGAAGTGAGCATGAGAAGTAAGTGTAGTACATGGTGGAAGGCGTAGATGGGATGAATCTGGATTTTATTTCAGTGAAACTGGTTTTACAGCTGTTTAACAATATTGACTTCAAAAGAGTTGCTGTAGATTGTTACTATTGAAGCGGCAGTGGCTGCATCTGTTTAGAGCAATAGGAAACAGTGCCTATCCTGCAATGGAAAAACTGGCTTGTAAATTTTTTTTCTTTTCTTTTACAGCATGTTCAACAATGGTTGTTGGTTTTGGTTTGTTTTGTGGTTTTTTTTTTCTTTTTTTTTTCTTCATGTTGTTTCCAAGATCCTAAAAGGATTTAATATTTCAAAGAAGTCATAACATCCTTTACGTTAAAAAATATCAGAGATATTAGCATTTCATATTGCATAACGCTGAATTTTGTTGAATAATGCAACTATTTTGAAGTACAGGTAATTCTTCTAAATGAGAATCATCACATCCTGCTAA